ATGTGATAGTGAGGGAACTCTACAGAGTGTAGGGGCATTCTGAAGAGATCAGGAAGGCAAAGAGGGGATTCAAGATAGCCTTGGCAATAAAGTTAAGGATAATCCAGAGATTCTGCAAGATCAGAAAAAGCAAGCAAGTGACTCGAGAGAGAGAGTAATGCCCTTTAAAATCAAAGACATAGTCTTTGTATTGAACGTCAGAAGACAGAAGGGATAGGAAACAAAGAATTAATTAAAAAAAAGCTGCTGGGGGAGAGAAATAGGAGCATGAGAACTTGGGAAATAAATATTGATATTTTGAAAACAGGTCACATTACAGAAGAGGAACTGCTGGAGGTCTTAGAAAGTGGAGAGTTGAATAAATCTCCAGGATCTGATATAGTGTATCCGAGGATATTGTAGGAAGCTAAGGAGGAAATTGCAGAACCCCTTGCAGCACTATGTGTATCATCTAATACTACAGTGAGGTGTTGCATGACTGGAGGTTGGCTTATGAACCTTTCTTTTAAAGAAGGGATGTAAGGAGAAGCTTCGGAAGTATAGGCCTGTGAGTCTGAATTATGTGGTGGGTACGTTGTTGGTGGTGATTCCAAAAGATAGGATTCACATGTATGGGGTGGGTGGGGGTTTTCAAGGAATAGTTAGGGATAGTCAACATGGTTTTGTGTGAGGGAAATCCTATCTCAAAAGTTGATTGAATTATTTTTGCGTTAGTACCCAAGATGATTGAGAGCAGAGCAGTAGGCATTGTTTACTTGGACTTCAGCAAAGTGGAGGGCTTACCCCTACCTGTCCATACAAAGTGACCTGTACCTGCATACACCAAACATAACAGTACCTTGGAACAGAGCTACCTAATGTTGTACAAAGGCCCTGTAACTCATCATCTGAGACAGTTTTGATAAGAGATTGCATAAATGGACAAATGACCCCAGTCCCATTAATGCCAGGATGTTGCTCCACTAAAGATATAGCACCAGGGGTCTAAATCTTAGCTTAGATTAACTCCCTAAACAGCTGCAAAAAAGAACAACAGCTAAATATACATTGCAGTAATTAGCTTTTTAAAACTATAGTATTAAGAAAAATGTCTTCTTTAAAGAATTATTCTGATAATCGCAGAAGTAGGTTTAAACATACAACCAGAAGATAAGACAAGCAGTAGGGGAAAAAGCATTGAAACCCAGAAGTGAAAGTTTAGCTTTAGGACATGCCTTATCTCACACCCTGGACATGATAGATCGGTCCAAGTCATGAGTTACAAAGTACTAGCAGCAAAAGTGGCTGTATAATGTTACACTTTATGACTAATCTTATAACAGGAATTAAATACTTAAAAAGTAACTGCCTTATACATACAGGATGGTGGGAAATAGAAAAGGATTGATTAAATTTGAAAAAGGTGACACGCACAATGCCAAGAATAACAAGATTCAAACAGCTCTAAGAGATTTATTTTAAAAAAAGTCAAGGACAGACCAGAAGGTGTATAATTAATAACTTACGGAATGTGAATTAATAGGATGCATAGAAAGATCCCAAGGCCCAGCAATGGCAATGTCGAGTAAACATTGAGTTCATGAGAACCTGGTGCTGTCCCGAGGAATGTCCATGATTGATTAGTTGTCCCATGGGATTAGGTATTTGGATTAGAGAGGAAGGACAGTGACTACTTTGCACTTGATTATTGTAAAAAAGTGTATAAAAATGCTGTACTTCCCTGTAAAATCAGAGTGTGTCATTGATCTCTCTTCCAATCTGAGCTGCAGATTAAGGCAAAAATTGCCTTCTCACATTGAGGCCAGATTGAGGAAGATCCTTTGGCCCTCTGCCTGCTTTAACTGGTTTCTTCTTCAATAAACATCTTCCAGTTGCCTGAATCCTGCCTGCCTCCTGAGGTTTTGGCTCTAGCTGGGGCGGGGTGAGGGTGGAGACGTGCAGCATGGTAACGGGGAGGGTTATGCTCCTACACAAAGTCTTTGACAAGGTTCTGCATGGCAGACTAAATAGTAAGGTTAGATTGCATGGCACTCGGTGAGCCTGCCAATTGGATACAAAACTGGCTTGATGGCAGGAGACGGGGGGTGTAAAGTTACTTTTTGGACTGAGGCCTGTTATTAGCAATGTTACATTCCAATTTGTGCTGGGTCCCCTTTTGTTTATCTCTTACAGAAATGACTTCGATGAGAATTTAGAAGGCATGGTAAGTAATTTTGTAGATGTCACCAAAATTAGTGGCATAGTCGACAGTGAAGAAGGTTATCTAAGATTACAAAGAGATCCTGATCAATTGAGTCAATGGCCTGAGGAGTGGCAGATGGAGTTATTGAGGTGTTGTATTTTTTGAAAAAAACAGACAGGAGCAGGGCTTGTACAATCACAAGAAGGGCCTTGGGTAGTGTTGTGGAACAGAAACCTGATGGGTCAAGTATATAGTTCTTTGAAGTTTGCAACAACGTGGTGCCTCGCTTCATTGCTAAGACCTCTTAGAACATAGAACAGTACAGCACAGTACAGGTCCTTCGACCCGCAATGGGTCTAAGATCAAACTACCCTGCATACCCTACATTTTACTATCATCCACATGCCTCTAAGAGTTGCTTTAGTGTCCCTAATGTATCTGAATCTACTCGTGCCACCACCACCAGCATATTCCACACACCCACCACTCTGTCTGTAACCTACCTCTGACATCTGCCTATACCTTCCTCCAATCACATTAAAACTATGCCTCCTCATAATAGTCATTTCCACCCTGGGGGAAAAAAAAAATGTCACTGGCTATCCACTCCATCTATGCCTCTCATCATCTTGTACACATTTATCAAGTCACATCTCATCCTTCTTCGCTCTAATGAGAAACATTCTAGCTCTCTCAACCTTTCCTCATAAGAGCTATCCTCCAGTCCAGGCAGCATCCTGGTAAATATCTGCACTCTCTCTAAAGCTTCTACATCCTTCCTATAGTGAGGCGAGCAGAACTGAAAACAATATTCCAAGTGTGGTTTAACACCCAACTCTTATTCTCACTTCCCCTACCCATGAAAGCCAACACATCATTCGCCGCCTTAACAACCCTATCAACTTGGGTAGCAACTTTGAGGGATCTATGGACGTGGACCCCCAAGATCCCTGTTCCTCCACATGGTCAAGAATTTGACTTTCCAAAATGAATTACTTCACACTTTTCCAGGTTGAATGCCATCTGCCACTTCTTTGCCCAGCTTTGCATCCTGTCAACGTCCTGTTGCAACCTACAACAGCCCTTCACACTATCCACAACTCCACCAACCTCCGTGTCTTTGGCAATCTTGTTAACCCACCCTTCCACTTCCTCATCCAAGTCATTTGTAAAGATCACAAAGAGCAGAGGTCCCAGAACAGATCCCTGTGGAGCACCACTGGCCACTGAGCTCCAAGCTGAATACTTTCCATCTGCTACCACCCTCTGTCTTCTATTGGACAGCCAATTCTGTATCCAGACAGCCAAATTTCCTTGAATCCCGTGCCGCCTTACTTTCCAAATGAGCTGACCATGGGGAACCTTATCAAATGCCTTGCTAAAATTCATATACACCACATCCACTGCTATGTCGTCATCAATGTGTTTTGTCACATCCTCAAAGAATTTTGAGTATTGGAGTTGGAACAGGATGTTGAGGTTGTACAGGACATTATTGAGACCTCTTCTGAAGTATTATCTCAAGTTCTGGTCACCCTGTTACCAGAAAGATATTATTGAGCTGGAGAGGCTTCAGAATGTTGCTGGAAATAGAGGGTTTGAGTTATAAGAACAGGCTGAATAGGCTGTTTTCCCCCTGGAGTATAAGAGCTTGAGGGGTGAACTTATAGAAGTTTTAAAATCACAAAGGGTGTAGGTAAGCTGAATGGATAGGTATCTCTTTCTCATAGGGTGGGGGAACTTTTTGACTAGGGGGCTATATGTTTAAGTTAAGAGAAGGAAGATTTAAAAACGATTTATTTTAAGTGTGGTTTGTGTGTAGAATGAACGTGCAAAGGAACTGACGGATATGGAAACAGTCACAATGTTTAAAAGACATCTGGACAAGTACATGATTAGGGAAGGTTTGGAGGGTTATGGGCCAAGATCAGGCAGGTGGGGCTAGTTAAGTTTGAGATTATGGTCAGCATGGACTGGTTCGGCCGAAGGGTCTGTTTCTGTGCTGTTTGACTGAGTTGTAGTCAGGCAGTTGTTCTGGTTTTACCTTGGTTTATTTTGGAAGCTTCTAATAGACAGCAGAAAGCCTTGCTGACAGCATTCTGCAAGCGGACTAAAGCCCTCGGTGTTTTGAAAGTTGAGAAGTAAGCGTAAAGTGTACCTATTCGTGGGAGTTAAAGATTGGACACTTCTTTTGTTTGCCAGGGGTCAAACTCAGGTCACATCCCAACGGGGCTTGTAGCTCTCTGATTGATCGAGTATTAAAGAGCAAATTGAACCAAAAGAAGTGGCTGAAAATGACTGTGGCCTTTATTAGGACCCCTCTCGACGGATATGAAAGAGGAGTCTGTTCACGAAAGTACTCGAGGATAAAGCATAGAGCTGGAGTTGAGCGTGACCAGTCATCATTAAAACTGAATGTACTTGCTACATTGGGTATACCTAAATGCCATCAAAGGAAATATGAAACCGGTGAGACAGAGAGATACATTCATAGGATGATGATTAAAGTCAGAGGCCGTTACAGAGCAGGAACAAATAATGCAATCCTAACGCTATTTCAATTGCGATTTACTATAAATTCATGATAAACGTTTCACTGTCTATGGGCTTCCGTTCTTAAGGTGAACGTGACCGACTGTAGGCTGTTAGTAAACATTTCATGTTAGATCATAGACGCAGTGACAGGAAGAGTATCCAATAACAACGGGACTGAAACCGACATCAAATAATTAGAGCAAACAAGTCATTCCGACAGTGGGGAGGGACTAGTTTCTTTCACAGATGCTGTGGCTGGCTCTTAAAAGAGCCTTTGGGTTGTCAGATTTAATCCCGGTATTTTCACTTTTTAGTGGCGCCCCCAGCGGCGGTTTTCTTGGGCAGCAGCACGGCCTGGATATTAGGCAGCACCCCACCCTGAGCGATGGTCACCCCTCCCAGCAGCTTGTTGAGCTCCTCGTCGTTGCGCACGGCCAGCTGGAGGTGCCTGGGGATGATGCGGGTCTTCTTGTTATCCCGGGCCGCGTTACCGGCCAGCTCGAGGATTTCAGCCATCAGATACTCGAGCACCGCAGCCAGATAGACCGGCGCTCCGGCACCCACACGCTCAGCATAGTTACCCTTTCTCAGGAGCCTGTGAACACGGCCCACCGGGAACTGCAGGCCAGCCCGAGACGACCGGGACTTCGCCTTGGAGCGAGCTTTCCCACCAGCACCCTTTCCTCTGCCAGACATAGCCACAATCTCACAAACACTTTCACAGAAAATTTTGCAACCCGCCCACATCCCGGCCTATTATACCTTCGGGAGGAATAGGGGTGCGATCATTGATGATTGGCCACATTGGGAATTGAAACGACATTAGGACAAGCTACACAATCAGACATCTGCTTCACTCACCAATCCGGAGAGGAGGCCGGAAAATACCGGCGCCAAGTCATCAACCTCTTCCTTTCAAACTCCAAAAACCCGCCATTATGTACAAACCAGGAAGAAGTCTAACAAAGAAAAATGCATACATATTTGATTTAATTTACTATTAGATTACACCTACATACTTCATACAATCTCTCTCTCTCGTTCCCTAGCCTACTTAAATCTGACTCTTTGTGACCACGAAAGGATTGTTTCCCCGAACCTTAAGAATAAACGGAAGCAAAAAATACCCTGCCGAAATCTGTTCCCTGCACAGATTCTATTTCACATCAGCACCCAGATATATTGAGAAAAGGATGACACAACTACTTTTTCTTTTGTCCGGGTGAGCGCATTAATGCTTTGAACAATATTTTAAAATCGCCCTCCCTATTGCACTGGGATTAGACTTCAACAATTGTTCCACATTTACTATGCCAATCCGGCAGCTGTTCTAGTTTCATTTCGGTTCACTTTGAAATTCTCCACCCGACAGCAGAAAGCCTCATTTATAGCTTTCTGCAAAACCGGAGGGAACACGCGGGGAGATTTGAAAATAAAACAAAATTCCTCACTGTGGAAACCGTTGAAAAATACCGGCACCAAATCATCAACCGTTTTCTTTCAGATTTGAAAAGCCCGCCAATATGGACAAAACGAGGAAGACGTTTTACAAAGAATAATGCATAAATGCTTACGATTTAGTTTCCTTTTAGATTACAAATGGAAACTTCACTCCATCACCTAATTGAATCCACCCATTTCTGATTTGAATGGAGTTTTCCGAATCTTGAGAACAGGCTGAAACAAAATAAAACAAAGCGCCAGTCCGCAGGCTGCATCTTCTGTTTTTGTATTTCACATTTTAAACGCTCCCCAATATATTGTAAGCCATCAGGCAACGTTCATCCGGTTGAGCGCATAAATAGGCAGCACTGTCTTCAGGCAATTTTGTAAGGTGGCCCTTACTTATTGTGATAGATCAGACTTTCCGGTTGATCTCGGTTCATTTTGAAAGCCTCTCAGTGACAGCAGAAAGCCCCACATACTGCATTTTGAAAAAAAAAAAAAATCCCGCGGAGAGATTTGGAAATTGAAATAAAACTGATAGCACAAGATATTTCTATTCGTGGAACTCAAATACGGGGTCACTTTATTTTCGTTGCCACAGGTGGATTCAGGATTCAGAACCGACCGCGATTTGTTTGAAAAACCGTCCAACATGTACAAAAGAGGAAGAACAATGAACAATTTAACTTTTCTTTTATAAGTTAAATTACATTGACATTACAAATCAATACTTTACACAATTTTTCTTTATCCCATTCTCTAGTCTACTCGAATCCGTCCATTTCTGCATCTGAATGGAATTTTCTGAAGTTAGGAACAAGCGGAAAGAGAAAAAAAAATACAAAAGCACTGCGTTCTGCACATATTTTTTTTTTAATTTCACTTTTCAAGTGCACACCGAATATTGACAAAACCTCACACAATGTTCTTCCGGGTGATCGCGTTCAAACTTTAAAACAACAGTTTGAAGTTGCCCTCCCCTATTGTCCTTGATCAGACTTCAGGCACAATTTCACACTTGCTATCGTAATTCGGCAGCTGCTCTGGCTTTATCTCGGTTCATTGTGAAATTAAAAGAAAAACAAGTAGATTGTAAACTCTATTCATGGGATTCGAAGTTAATTTTGTTTCCCGGGGTGATCAAGTGTTAAAGAGGAACTTGAAAAAATGGAAGCTGCTGAGAAATGACTAAGTGGCAATAATTATGCTCTGTAGAGGCAGGGAAAAGACACAGCGTATGGCCGTAACCGAAAATAAACGGCAGAAGATCATGGACCACACATTAACTTCTAAAACATTTGTATAAAAAAAAAACAAAGGCTAGGGACATTAATAATACAAACCCAAAATCATTTTAAACTTAAATTGGTTCAGCTGTTTCAGGGAAGTTGTGGGTGGCTCTTAAAAGAGCCTTTGGGTCTTGGATGTGTTTTTCTCAGTACAATGTGGTGTCTCACTTGGAGCTGGTGTACTTGGTCACCGCCTTTGTACCCTCCGACACGGCGTGCTTGGCCAACTCCCCGGGCAGCAGCAGCCGCACGGCGGTCTGGATCTCCCGGGAGCTGATGGTGCTGCGCTTGTTGTAATGGGCCAGGCGGGAAGCCTCCCCCGCGATGCGCTCGAAAATATCGTTGACGAACGAGTTCATGATACTCATGGCCTTGGAGGAGATGCCGGTGTCGGGGTGAACCTGCTTCATCACTTTGTAGATGTAGATGGAGTAACTTTCTTTCCTGGATCGTTTCCTTTTCTTGCTGCCTTTGCCTGGTGCCTTCTTGATGGTTTTCTTCGCGCCCTTCTTGGAGGTTGGCTGCGATTTCTTCTCATCAGCCATAATGACGGTCACTTTCAGACACAGAATAAGGAAAACTGGACTCGGAGTTCGCTTTTTATAGCCTGACGGCGTCAGCAATGTTCATGAAGGATGGGGGAAAGCCTTGTTCCTGATTGAGTCGTTTACAAGAATCCATGACATCAGCCTCGCTGTGATTGATTAGTGTGGGACACAATGTGGATCTGTCAGGATCTGCAACGAAATGCGAAACACAAACCAAATTTTGTACACGGATCAAACTCCTAGCTCACTCTAAAATGAACTGGTTATTGTCATTTAATGATATTTTGAACACAGTACCTGTGAGATTTTAATTCTGGCAATGTGTTTTATTCTGCTCATGACAATCTTTTGTGTGTAACATATTATTTTGTTTCATCACTCTCCGTGATTTCTGCATTACACTGGTAATAGTACTGTGTTGTTAAGAGATTCAGGTTTATTGAGGGATAGTTTGCCCAATATCTGTCAGTCTCTGCTATGTGAAAATGCGAGTGCAGTTATCTATCTGTCCCAGTCTGTTTATGCAGTGTGAATGATTATTACTCTCTCACAATCTGTTCCTGTCATACAGTCATAGAGATGTATAGCACTCTTGGGTCCACCTCGACCATGACAACCAGATATCGTAAATTAATCTCGTCCCATTTGCCAGCATTTGGTCCATATCACTCTAAACCCTTCCTAATCCTGTACCCTTCCAGAAGCCTTTTAAATATTGTAATTGTCCCATCCTCCACCACATCCTTTGGCAGTTCAATCCAGTTACGCACCACTCACTGCGAGCAAACGTTGCCCACCTTAGGTTACTTTTGAACCTTTCACCTCTCACCTTAAACCCATGCCCTCTAGTTTTGGATCCCTCTACTCTGGGCAAAAGAACTTGATTATTCACCCTATCCATGCCCCTCATAATTTTATAATCTTCTCGAAGGTCATCACTCAGCCTCCAACACTCCGTGGAAAACAAGCCCCAATTAGCCATGTCTATTCAGTCTCTCCCGAAAGGCCAAGCCTCCAACTGTGGCAATAACCTTTTAAACATTTTCTGAACCCTTTCAAGTTTAAAAACACTTTCCCTATTTTAAGGGGACACCAGAACTGAATGCAGTATTTCAAAAGTAGCCTAACCAATGTTCTGTACAGTCGCAACATGACCTCCCAATCCGTACATTCAATGCACTGGCCAATAAAGGCAAGTGTATCAAACGCCTTCTTTGCTGACCTGTCTATCTGTAATTCCATTTCACGGAGCTATGAACCTGCACTCTAAGACCCTCTGGTTTGGCTTCCCTGGAGCTTACCTGGAGTCTGCAAGTCCTGCCCTGATTTTCCCTCACAAAATGTAGCACCTCATGCTTATCAAGATTAAACTCCATCTGACACTCCCCAGCCCATTGGTCCTTTTGATCAAGGTCCCATTGTTGTCTGAGGTCATACAGTCATACAGCATGGAGAAAGGCCCTGGAGTTCAAACTGGTTCATGCTGATTCAGCTACGTCCAATTGCCTGAATTTGGTCCATATCCCTCTAAACCCTTGCTATTCAAATGTTTTTTCAATGCTGCTGTTGTACCTGCCTCAACCACTTTCTCTGATCGTCTATTCCACATATGCATCACTCTCTCATTTCCTTATTAAATCTTTGCCCTCTCAC